ATCTGGTCCATGGACCACATTTTGTCCACCCCTGGTTTAATGTATGTACAGAAGACAAAATAAAAAGTGTGTATTACAGTTAGAGCAAAATGTGGCAATGGTCCTTAGTTTCTAGAACATTCCTCCCCATCCCTTTGCTGTTGTAAGATCCTTAAAATCTATGTGATGTCAGACCTCAGACACTTTCCCAGAATCTACACTTAATCCTGCAAGTAGGGAAATCACAAAAATTAAGCTTCTTGGTCATGGGAACTAGTGTTGCAGTTCTGATGTTATCTCAAAACATAATAATCATTACCCAGCAGACCCCATCATCCTATGCAAATAAACTGATACCTCTGGCTGGCAGTGCCCCCCCGCAAGTATATTTTCAGGGACAAGAAATGCGCGCTTGCAACATGGCAATGAAATTCTGTCTTGAGCCCAAAACTTCTTCCCAAGAGGGCTAAATGCTGGGCAACATGGAAGATGACCTTACTCTGCCCTAACTTAAAATCTGCTGACGATATGTAACCAGTCAACACAGCAATCAACTTGCTTCTACTTTGTACAGAAAGCCACCAAAAAGCAGTTTCATGCATGTTAAGTATGCCCCTTCATAACTGGTAGTTAAAGTAACATCAGCAGGGATTTAACGAACAAGAGGGCTAAATGTTCTAGTCTCAAGTTCCAAAACTGGAGTTTAGATCAGTATCCACTATCTATGGGCGCCTATATACATGGAGCGAGGCTGGTCCGATGCGCTGTAATTACAGTGTGTCGGAGCAGACTTTATTAATCTAGTCCGCTGGAGCATGATAATTGCTGTGCTCCAGCAGACTCCAGCATCTTGTATATTAGCATCCCCGCCATTTTTCAGTGCAGGGAAGCTGATGCAAAAGATGCTCTGGGCGCTTTAATCAGAGCAGCTCTTGGAGCCGCTCTAATTAAAGTGCACCTCCCCACCCTGTACACAGCACCCTGTGTCTGTGGGGTTCATGTGCATCTGACACGGCCCAAGCTTTAACTTTTCAATTATCCCATATAGTATTATTTTTGATCGGAAAAAAAAATCTCCCAAAGCACGAGGAAAATAGAAAGCAGCATGAGGGGAATACTTTACTAAATATGAATCTTTAAATAATCACATGTCAATAAAAATCAAGTAACCCAAGTCACTTAGAGCTCCCTCCATTCTGGCTTGGTGGAAGGTGGAATGTTACATAATGATTCTTTCTAAACTAGCCAAACTAAGCTGGCAAGTAGGATGTGAAAACAAAGGGTCTGTTTTCCTTTGTTTGCAAAAAATGGGCTAATAAATCAGGTATTGAATTATTTTTCTCAGCTGTTCAGCATATTTAAATTCATAATTACCTATATTTTTGGGGAAAAATGTCCCTTTTAGGAAGCTTTTGTGCAAGTAATAATTGCAAAGTGAAAATAAGAGCTCAAAATACAGGTTACACAGCTTATTTTCATGATACAGGATGACAGAAAAATGAAAAGAAAAAAATTAGAGGTTTACCTTTTCTAGCTTTTTAGCCTCAATGTGTCGCAGCACCTGTTCCCTCCAATCATGAGGGACTTTACTTTTTCCTGAAGGATCTAATAATGAATGTTCAGAATTAACCCTTGGGTTTGATCTTTTTGAGGGACTAGTCCTTGAATAATTGAAGTCACTAACTGACATAGTTCTCTCTGGTATTTCAGTCACTGAAGGGCGAGCACTTTGAGGTCTGGATATATTTGGACCATCGATGCTATAGGTTCTTGCAGAAAGAGGCCTCTGTTGACCAGACAGCATTGGTGGAGTTCTTCCTATTGAATGCAAATCTCTATAGGTTAAGTAGTCCCCTTCAGGAATCTGGTTGCGTCTTGGGGGTCCAGTTTCACCCACATTCACAGAAGCTGAGGAGGATACACTGCTTTGTCTCTGAAGAGTATTTCTGGATGCTCCTGGAAGAAGTCTGTTGCTTGGGGGAACGACCCACATTTCTATATGCCTTCCACCCATATGCCTTTGATGAATGTTATATGCAGCACTGGCTCGAACATTATTATGATTGGAGAAATTCATGTTAGCAGAATGTTTTATGTAATTAGAGGTTTCTGTGCTGTCTGACCTAGGGAGACGTTGAGGAGGTAAGCTGCCTTGTTCTACTTGAGTATTTTGTTTTTGGGGCCACAAGGTATCTTTGGCTGTTGCACTGCTACTATACTGGATGTTATACTGAGGCACACTGAACATCTGCGCACCACTTGCCACTGATCCTCTAATCACATTAGCACCTTCAGGATTGTGATTTGAATCAAACTTGAACACAGTTTTTGTACAAGAAACTAAATCAGATGATGACGATGATCCTGGAAATATCTGCAAAGGCTGGTCATAAAGAAGAGTGGCAGACTTGCTTCGGACTATATTTTTGCCATCTGTGCTAGCAGATACCGATTTTACCACTGAGTTTGGCTGCTGGAATTCACTGTTATTGACAATATCATATATTTTGAGAGCACCAGTGTCCATATTGGTGATGCTGTGAGATTTCACCACTTGGCCACTTCGCTGTGGAGACAGATCTTCAGTGCTCTTTGAAAGAGGTATCTCAGTAGAAGGATCAGTATCAACTGTAGTGCTTCTCTTAAGTTCATCCTGCCCTGGAGACTGTGATGCTTCCTCAGAATGTCCATTCACCTTATTCACAGGATATTTATTTCCATTTTCCAAGAACTCGGTTTTTTCTTTCATGTTATTGTTTAAAAAGCCCTTTACTGACACTGTTTCCTGTGGTTTTAATCTTTCCACAGCATGCAATTGCACTGTATCTTCACTAGACAATTTATTGATATTCATGTTTATTTGGTCTAGCTTGTGAGATTCCTCAGTGGCTGTGTTTAGATCAACACCTTTTTCTATTAGAACTAATCTCTCTTCAATACTTAAATCATATTCAGTCAAATTTGTAATCTTGTCTTGTACACTGATTTTTTCTTCTGCTATGATGCTTAATTCACCTCCATTTTGCAAAAGATTATTCAAATTTTCATCTTCTTGCCTAAAAAAAGAAAAAAGAAAAAGCACTTTGAAAAAAGTATCAAGAGCATGAACCCACTTTATTAAAATTTGCTTCAGAGATCTTGTGCATCATTGTGAACATAAATAGGAGGTTCTTAAATGGCATGATGAAAGTATTCTGTAGATATATTAGAAAAACAGAAGTTCAAAGGATCCAATTATTGCTCCTTAATATTAACGCCACAGAAGCTGTTTCTTGCATATTAAAATTTACTTTAAAAATATATAAGATAATCAAGTTCTTTTGTGATACATTTCAGGAGTCCCATTCTATTAGTTTTTGAAACATGAAAGTATCTTAAATTATTTAATCAACGAAAATAAAAGATCCAGACTGGTCAATAACAACAATTTTATTCCAAAATTCAAGCAAAAAGTTTCCTTGTTATATCTCTTCAAATATCTGTTTAGTACTATACACTTTTTTACAAACCTGACTTTGGAAATTACAGCAGTGCGTGTTTCTTTTTCTGGAGAACACAGTGAAGTGTCTTGGCTACTGTCTGTATTTAGAGAAACTGAATCTGACATTCGAGAAGGAGAAGAACAGTTGCTGTTATTCTGATTGCTGTTGTGGGTGGCTTCATCTGATAAGGAATCTGCATCTTTAGAGTCATCTAAAATAAAATGTTTTTGTTTAGTTATGCACATATTGAACTTGTTTAAAAATCACCAGACAGACTTCCCTTATTCCTGAAGAAGGATGTTTGCGCCTGAAAGCTTGCAAAGAACAATTTTTCCAACTATTTAGTTGGTCTAATAAAAGATACCACACCTACATCCAAAGAACCTTGTCTGCTTAAAAATCACCAAGTATTCTTTTACAGTATAATGCTTCCACCAAAAAAAATCTAATGTATTCATACTCTCTTAAACAGGCTTGTAGCTACCATATGAAGTCCCTCTGCAAAGTTCATTTTGGTTTGTATAAGTTACAGGAATGTATTTTTGGCAGTGGTTCCCATTTTTGAAAGAAAAACTGGGTAAGTCTATGCAGCACTTGTCTAACACTAAAATGTAGCTTGCTACTGTTTTCTGGGTTTATTGGTCATGCACCAATCCTACATTATAAAATCTTTTGCAAGAAACATCTATCAAGTTAAGTTTCTATTTTTATAAAATGAATCAACTGCATGTACTACTCAAGCCTCATTAGCTTTTTTCAGCTTTATATAATGTGAAACTTGAATTTGGAAATACACAAAATTGATGTTTTCTAACATTATATAGATGCTAAACTGCTAAAAAAACATTTTGGAAAGATAAGAATCTTTGGAAACTACTGGGATGTGCTCCAGATACATTCAAGTTCTGCTAAACAAATTTTCTAAATATAGCAACAAAAGAGGAACAGTGTTTTTATGCCTAATTGTAAACCAATACTTTTCTAGTGCCTTCAAAGCTACGCAGGGCCAAATTTAAGTTATACACACCTTGCACATGCTTGTTCTTGAATAACATCTGCATACAGGCTTCTAATGATTGTGTAAAAAACCTGATTCGCATGCATGGGTCAAAGGAGCCACATCCATGTACACATAAAAAAAAAAGTCCTGTGTATCTAAATCAGCTGTAGGCGAGTATAAATACACTGTCTTATACTACATTGAAAGTGTGGCTTCAAGTGGTTAATTTGGGTAACAAAAGGAAAGTTGTCAGGCTGTTGTGTTCAGATCTTTGGATGAAAAAAGAGAGAGAGTTTTGCCCACAAGCAAGCACTTTTAGCTCAGTGCATCACCCAGCCATCAGAGCCTTTAAGAATATAATAGTTAATTATCAAGCTCCTCTTTCCTTTCCATATGTGGATCCAGAGCAGGAGGAAGCCATGCCACTATCCCTCTATGGCCCTGAGCACCTCATCTCTTTACAAAGAGTATCTAAAAGGAAATGAACTTGATAGGTATTGGAGAATGTCAAGAACAGACAAAGAGCTGCTTTTCCTTTTTTCCACGTTTTATATTTAGTGTCCCCAAAATCTGGGTCTGCCATGCCAAAATGGTTACCCTTGCTAGAAAAATCATCATCCAGAGAACCAGATTTGACTTTCAAAACCTGAAATTTCCGTTTGAAAGGAAAAGAGTGAACAAAGTGGCTTTGGAAACAACAGCTGCTTGCAGATATTAAAAAAAAAACCTGTGCTTTACTGGAAGAAGCAGAGCATTACTTCAACCCAGCTCTGGAGCATCTGTATAGATCAGGTGTTTGAGCGGGGCTTTTTGGTGCTTCCATCTAAAGCCAAGTCTATCAGCTATTAGATAAAAGCACCAAAAAAGCCCCACTAAAGCACCTGATCTATATAGACATTGGGCAAGCTAGGTCCATCTAACGTGATGCATTGGGTTCCGTGTGGGAGCACACGGAGTTTAAAGTGCCATTTTTGGTTTATGTGGGATTTTGTTTTGTTTTTTAACATCTGCAAGCAGGCAGTTACTAAACCAAATCTGCATGAAAAGCTTGAGAAGCAGCATCACCCCAGGATAAGGCTGTGGGGTAAGTGTTCAGGTAACTGGCACTAAAGCAAAAACAACAGAAACACCACAGCAAAAATCAATGTTGGGGTAGGATTTGCTTGGAACAAGCAAACTTCTCTGCTGGGTTTGCTTGCCACTGTATCAAAGTCTTTCCAAAATGAGTAGCTTCAACAGCAGAAGAGCCTGCTTTTATTGAGCTGCAAGTAAGAATTAAAAGGATATAAATTCAACCAACAAGACCACTTGCCCTTTTCTCTGACTTTCTAGGTGAGTTTTATTGTAAATAAGTGCTTTTTTCCATACTTCCATTGTTTGTCACAAGAACTTATCAACCTTCTTCTTTGTGCTGGATGGTAAAGAGGCTTTTGTTAAATCCCATCTTTAGCTAGTTTAATTTTAACTTATTTCACAAAAATGGATACCTACCATTTTAGTCACAGAGAACTGTGCAGAACCATAAGAACAGTATGATTGTGTTCGTCTGTTCTGTATTCTTACCTTTTTTGCTATTGGCAAGTGCTACTACTTTTGGTTGGTTAATAGAGGTTTCTATCAATGGTGGGCGCATTTCTGCCATTTTCATCTCTCCATCAGATGAAAGGTCTTCCGACTCCTGCAAACAGAACAGAAACAAAAATAACCCCAAATTTATGCAGTATTCTGAAGAGGTTTGCTGAAAGAAAGTTAAGTGCAGCTATATAATGGGTCATCCTGCAGAAATCCCAGGGAAAGCAGATATTACAAATCATAGTATTGAATGCTTGCCTCCCATGTTAGTTGGATATTTCATTTCTAGCTGACATTAACAGAATTTAGTTACTTGAACTGTGCAGCAGTACTAATTTCAGGAAGTGGCACATGTGGACCGACCCTGAAAAGATTCCCAAGAGTTGCTCCCAAATTCCCCTAGTCTGGAAGAACGTACCTTGATTAATCTGGTATCTTCCATACCAGTGGGTCTGTCCCCCATTCCACCACTGGTCAGGATACATGATTCTCAGTTTTACAGTAGTATGTTAACACTCTGGATGTTAAATAATAAATGCTTTCAATTTGTTGATTTTAAATGACTACTTTAAGATTTGGGAATATGAGGCAAAGGCATGATTCCCAACCACTACAGATTTTTTTTTAATTTAATTTCCAAAAATGCTCACTGTCCTTGTTTTAAGTGGAAGAATTTCAAGACCATCAAGGACAAGGAGTGAAATCACACTGAAGTCAGTGGGAGCTTTAGCATTGACTACAAAATATTCTTTATCCATAAATAAAATAGTGAGGCTACTATAAAAAGGAATAGCCCAAAAACTAAACAAATCTCTCATCCTAGGTGAGAAACCACAAATAGAAATTTCCAGGCTGAATGGTTTTTTACTTGGATTTTTTTTCCCCCTTAGGTCTTTTGGGAAATTTAACCTGCAGGATTTTATTGGAAGCTATAGGGGCAACTCATTTTCCTTAACAAAGCCTGACTAATAGCTCTGTTCCACATTTCCTCAGGGTGTAGCAAGGAAGGATAATGCCCTATTGTGAGAGTAACTGATGATTTACTGCCCCACCCCCTCCCTCTGCACCCAAAACAGAAATACACTTCAATGTAGCTGGGACAGTCAGTCTATCAGCTGTCTTTATCACATTCCCCTTTCCCCCTGGATTTTAATATTATACTAGAGAACTTATTTGCATACAACAATTCAATGCCTCAATTCAGATAGAACTAAGCTAAACCTACTGAAGCTCCAGCAATCAATAGAAAATAAGGAATTTAATACATCATCTGTTTGAGCCTCTGGGAGCTGCTGTCTTCTTCTGTTACTGGCATACTACCTGCTTTGGAAAGTTGCTGCTGTGATTGCTAAACAACCAACGTGTTTCTCTAATATTAGGTCTGTGGATATTTTCTAGGGAAAATTTCAAAAAATAGCAACATTTCTAGAAACCACTTCAGTGGCTTGTCAGAATGAGGAACATGCTAGTAGGAAAGTATAAAGCTGACTCCAATTCTCAAGGGTGGCTCCAGCAAAGATATGATATATATTTTGCACTGTTTAAATAACTGCGCTTTATCACATTTAAATCAGATTTTATCCTCCCCCAGCCCAATTCAATCAGTTTCACACGAAATGCACAAAAATAAAAACACATTTCAAAATTGTTACATCTGAGAAAAAAAACTATGTTACATTGTTAAAAAGCAGGTACATGTTTCATAGCACTACAGGTTAGACATTTTCTGCTACTGTCAATTTAATTTTCCATTACTAGCTTTCAGAGGAAGAAATTTGATAAGACACTAACAAAGCTCTGACTGCTGGGCTGTGCATCACAATGCTGTACCTCAAGCATGTCTTCATGGTTGACTATTGTTTTTGTGTTCTTCAAGGTTTTAATGTGCGCAGTCATCTGTGAATTTCCAGTGTTGTGCTCAGCTTCTGGTTCAGTGGGCTTCTGCACACAGTTTCCCATAGAATATTGCTTTCTGTCTTCTGTTTTGCCCTTTGCCAGACCAGTTTCTGAAGTCTACAGCAGTTAAAAACAAAAGATTAGCAGGGAAACAACCATGAACAGTTTATACTAATTAATGTGTTTTTTTTAAAATTAGAACTAGCAGTTTATATGTTGGGAAAACTATGCACTGACCAGTTCAAGGTCTAAAATACTTTCAACACTGAAGCAAGTGCAAAAACAAACAAACACCATCTTGGCTTCATTTTCTTATCCAATTGTAACACTTATTTTCTATAGGCTTATTTTATTACTGTCCTTTTGGGGCTAAGTACATACCATTAGGTGTGGCAGCATGTACTGGCCAAGCTACTCTCAAACACATCTCACCTCCCCACTTAGACACTCTAAAACCAGAAATACACATTGTAGAGGCTCCAGAGCGTCTCTCTGTAGTGGCTTTCAAAACACTGGCCTCTAGCACGCTTACAAGGCTGCAGATGGATGCCCTGGAGTATCTTCACTAATGTATTTCCAGGTTGGGAGTGAAAAAAGTAAAAAATGGTACAACCACAGCACACTGAATACATGCCTGAAATTACAATCTGAAATGTTGGACAAGGAAACAGGTAAACTGACACTGACACACATAAGCAGCTATCAACAATGTTCTTCCACTTCACTACCTATCTGATTCAACATGCATCTACCAAAAATAATCTTCTACATACCTCCCTGGTGTTGCCTTTCTAACTCCTCCTATAAACACTGTGGTCAGAAAGGGGAAAATCCAAGTCCTCTGAGATCCAACTTAAGGATGAGCAAGCAACAGATGCCTAGAGGTTCTGGAGATAACTTTATGGGGATCAAATTCTCACTGTGATATGCCCAACTTCAACTGGGCTCAGTGCTCCCTAGACTCGGAGGGCAGCAGCCACAAACCAACCATTTGGCTGGCTCTTTAAAATGCTACATATCAGAAGTTCTGTTCTTTAATTTGACATTTTTTCACATTGAAATATTTTAAGAAAAAAGGCTGAAATAGAAGGATTAAGTCTATGTCCTAGAACTTTTGAATTTCTGCTAAAACTGGAAGAAGATACTGATTCTAACCTTTACACCCATGTCTTTTACTGAAACTTGCTGGCCTTCTTTGTTTGACTCTCTGCCAACTTCTTCAGCAGTTTCTTCATCTTTCAGTCTATGCACAATTGTCTGAACTGTTTTGACCATATTCTTCAGTTCATCAGGATATGGTGTTGGATACCTCTTCAGATTACCCTCCTTTGTAACCATAGAAATAAACAACAATTAAAACATTTATTAAATAGGGTTTGAGTTGGACATAAAGCAATTTTAAAAAGTGGTGGATACCTATTTAGCCATTTGAACATATTTAAATAAATGCTGGTATACTGAAGCTGAATTTCCCAGCTCCCAAAAGCACAACTTTATTGTGTTACTGCAGCAATTGGCAACCATTTTGTAGCAGTGGGACAAAATTACCCAGTTTGGGTCTGAGCTCTACGACCTGGCAGCTGCTGCCACCACTGTTTCTACTTGCTGTCCAGCTGTGGCATGGCTGAAGACCCTGCTGTCAGTGCTCTCCACTAGTCAACCACACCACTCTCCACTGATCCAGCTGCATCGTCTAGGCAAAACCCCTCACCATATGGGGTGGTGAGGCTCAGGCAAAGCCCCCTGGGTCTGCGGACTGGAGCCAATGAGTCTATGGGCCAAATCTGGCCCTTGGGCTGTAGGCTGCCAACCCCTGATGTACTGCCTAGAAGCATGCCCAATCCTGCCTCTTTAAATGGTAGCATACATTTAAAGGAAACCACATAGGCAGCACTTAATTAGCTGATTCCTAATCAATGCAGACAGAGCTCTACAGCCAGAGATGCAGAAAAGAGAGGAAGAGACAGAAAAAAGAATGACAAATTTACAACGGACTTGCGAATACTGACCCTGGGTGGTGCCTCTCTTTCATCTTTGTCTTCATCACATTCAAATGCCACTTGGGCTCGCTGTTTTCTCTGTTCCTCCCACAAGGAGGGATTGAAACTTTCATTATCCGATATGAACATAACTTTAAAAAAAAAGCAGTAGTAAATATAGGACACATTAAGTCCCATGAAAAACTTTTTTTTTTTAAAATTAGGGGCAGGTTTATGCCTTTGCACCTATTTGTGAACATAAATGACTAGCAGTGACAGAAAATGAAGGCCAGCTACACAGTGAGTCACTGCATTACATACTTGCTAACATTCTGCTAACAGTGACAATTTCAGTCTTAATCTAAACAGGAAAGAAAAACTACCAAGGCACCATATTTCAGTCTGAGCACTCTCACAGCTGTAACTCTCCTGAGCAGCCAACTGTAAAAATTATGCAGCCCCATTTTGCAGTATGGTCTACTACAAACTGATATGGTAATGCTAAATAGATTTCACTTAGGCTTGTACAGCTTCAGTAATGAACAATTTATCTGTCAAACACCTGCACCATGCAAGTTTCTTTAAAAAGGAAAAAAAGAAAAACCCAAATTTAAGGTAGGCATACTGCTAAGCAGGGGTTATGCAAATTATGAACAGAGCTTTACAAAATCTCCTCCCATTATTGCTAGGGAGAGGAAAACAACATTTAGATTATGTTATTATTGCTACTCATTGCAGCATGGTTTAAATGACAGACATGGCAATTAACACATCATTCTTTACTACAAAAATCCCCTGCATTCATGAACAACACACATCCCCGGGGGCTGGGGGAGTACAGTGAGCTCCTGGAGGTGGCGGCGGCGAAGGCGTGGCAGCAGTGAGTTGGGAGCTCCCACAGGCAGCCACAC